TTTCTGCTGTAGGTTCTTAGTCTGTTTTTAAGGCCAGAAAGTAGCGCAATTGTTTCCAGGGTGACATTCCATTCTTAGAAACTCTGTCATGTTTGGTTTAGGCGGCATACGACCGCGACCCCAGAGGGCAGCTGTGGCAGAAGCTGGCAACCCGCGGCGTGGACCCAGCTTGGCTGGCGGCAGCGCAGGCGTTGTACACCAATGTCCCCATGTCGGTGCGCACCTCAGCTGGGCTGTCGTCCTGCTTCCAGGCCGTGGCAGGACTGAAGCAGGGCTGGCCCCTCGGCCGCACTCTGTTTGGGCTGTACATTGATGACCTCAAGGAGGTGATGTTGGCGGCGGCGCAGCGTGGCGAGCAGCTCGACCTCCCCAGCTTCCTCGGCAGCAAGCTCAGCAGCCCCTGTGCCGCCGCTGCTGCACGCCGATGACATGGTGCTGCTGGCCACCTCATCGGCCGCGCTGCAATGGCAGCAGTACTGACACCAGTGGGGCCTCACCGTCAACTTCGCCAAAACCAAGCTCATGCTGCTTAGCAGGCAGCGGATCCAGGTGGCGGCACAGCAGGCTGCTACGGCAGCAGGCCTCTCCTTTGACGGCCCGCAGCTGGAGGCAGCCATCAGGTTCAAGTACCTTGGCATCTGCTTCCACTCCAGCACCTGCCTGGCGGGCGCAGCAGCACCAGCACGGGCGCAGGTGGCGCGCCTGGCAATGCACAACTGCCGGGCGCGCTGTGCGGAGGTGGGCATTGAGGCTGCGCCAGTGCACCTACAGCTGTTTGGCACGATGTTGGACTCGGTGCTGTCGCACGGCGCGGAGGTATGGTGCGTGCGGCTGGCGGCCAAAGCGGCAGCCAGCCAGGTGGCAGTGCTGGTAGCGCCGCTGAGAAGCCGCAGCTCAGCTACCCGCGGCACCTGCTGGGCGTGCGTCAGAGCGCGCCCAGTGTCGTGGTGCTGGCTGAGCGCGGCGAGCGGCCACTGTGGCAGCGCTGGCTGCGGCGGGCGGCCAAGCTGTGGAACAGGACGCTGGCGGAGCAGCCTGGCGGCCGGATGCTGCAAGCGCTGCACTCCAGCATCCACCTGGCAGCCACCCCCCAAACCCCTGCTCGGCAGTCGTGGGCGGCCCAACTGGCCGCCGGCTTGGCAGTCGGCATACAACTGGACATGCAGCAGCCAGCGCCGGTGGACCTGGGCGAGCTCGGGCCAGCGGCTCCAGCTGGCTGGAGCACTATGTGCACAACGTGGTGGGCGCCCTCAACCTGGCACTCGCCATGTTCGGGCAGCGCGAGACCTACCGGTACCTGGTACAGCCTTTGTTTCCCAGTTCTACATCACAGTTTGCATTCCGTTTGCCAGCCTACACACTGCCAGCCCAGTGCCTGTCAGCTGACCTGCTTTGCATGTTGCCATTCCAGCCCCACTCAATTCGATTGGTGTGCTGCTCTTGCTAACATACGGAGTGTAAACACTCTCAAGCAAGTTGGCTGTGACTCAGCTGTGCAGGAAAACATCGTACTGCTGGGGGGAAATTTTGAGAAAGGTGGGGGGGGGAGTCAACCTGCAGATACACAACTGCAAACATACGAATATGAAAGAGGACGCTGGTTGGAAGGTTGCAGCAGCTGGGAAGCTGCTGCATCTGTCGATTGCAAAATTAGGCATTTGGAAACGCAACATTCGAGGGAGTTTTTGTGTGGCAGAACTCATTATGCTGTCACAGGGGACACACGTGATCAACGGGCATCAACCATCGGGAGAGGGGGGAGGGATGAGGTTGGCAGGACAAAAGAAACAAGGTATGAGAAGGGGAGGTGCTGTGGATGCAAGCAACAAAGTAGCCAGTGCAGCATCACCGCAAATGCACCAGCTCTACGGGGATAGTAGGGCCTCAGCTGAAGAAAGTGAATGTACTCCATGAGTCGATGATGTTCTGGCAGGACGCAATGGCGGCGGCAACTGCCACCAGAAGCATGACAAGCGCGGTCACTTTCATCAGCAGCAGCATCGGACCTGCCGGCTTGTACACCTGCGGGAGCAGGCAGGTAGCACGGTGGAGCGCAGGACCTATTGTGGTAAGGTGCCCCGCTGCTGGCACCCACCTTGGCATACATGGCGAACGGGAAACCGACGGTCAACGGCCAGAACCTGCAGCACAGCCATAGCACAGCTGCGGTCGATGGGATGCACAAACGCACCAGCACCTGGACAGAACCTGCTTACGTGATTGCGCCGATCAATCCAACAATCGCGTTGAAAAACGGCTGCAGGTGAGCAGGGAGCATCTCAGCTAGAGCTGCCCACGGGCAAACGCAGGCAAGCGCAGTTCCCGCCCCTCAGCTGGCGCCTGCCACCGCAACATACATCATTTGCAGCACAGCGGTGGTCCTCACCAGGCTCATGGCGATGATGGTGCACAGCAGGACGTATGTGGAGCGGATGACCAGGCGCTGCATGCACATCGGCAGCCGGTTGTATGGGTGCAAAGGAGCAGGCACTGGCAGGAAACAGAGCAGCAGCAGGCAACCAACATCCAATGCCCGCATTCTGCCATGAATGCTCAATCACCTGCCAGAACGGCAGGTAGTAGCCTTCATCGTTCATGGGGACGTGCTCATTGGCGGCGCCGGTATCGATGTGGTACCTGCAGCAGCACAGGGACGGCATACAGCCTCCCTTGGGCGACATGGCAATGCACCGCTTGCAATGTCTGCGAAACCAAGTGGCAATGAAGCACAGCGTAGAGGTCGTGGGCTCCTGCTTCACGCACATTGCCTCGCTGCCCAGCTCCACAGACAGGCGCGCCAGGTGGTTGCCGATGCTGCTGCGGTTGAGGTTGGGGTGTGCCCCCGTGGCGCTGTCCTTCGGCTTGTCCATGGAGGCCAGGGAGGCATTGGAGCCGGCGCCGCGGGTCCGCCGCTTCCACCCTGCACCGCGGCAGGTAAATGCAGGCAGGTTCGTTGCCATCGGTTGCAAGAGAGGCTCACTGCCATATGTGACAAGGGCAGAGCATGCAGAGCAGGGGCAACCACAAACTCACCTCCCGCGGGCAAAAGGTCTGGGATGGGGGCGCTGTTCAGGATGGCCATGCTGCCGGAGGTGCGTGCTGTGGAACGCCGACTCAAGCGGTCGCTGCGCCCAGATGAGGCGCCTGACAGCCCCCTCTCCATGTCCACGGTCTCTGTCACGGGTGGCAAGTGGTGCACCTCTTCGGCCTGGTGCTGGTGCGTGACGCTGCCGGGGCGGTGACCCACATCAAAGGGCGACGGCTTGTGAGGCTCCGCCACCTTTGCATCCAACTTGGACTCCTCTTTCTCTGGGGCTAGGCCAGCGGAGCGCATCTGCCGCTTGATCATGTAAGCCTTGACGATGCTCTCAATCGTTTCGTACACCGGCTGCGCCCACACCTGCACTCAGCGGGGACAAGAAGAGAAGCAGGCATGCTTGGCGTCGGGTTGTCCAAGAGATGGGCGTGGGCCAAGAGCCATCATTTCCCACCATCCCACTACCGACCTGCCAGGCGGTGACCATGTGGATGACGATGCAGATATTGGCCACCACGAGAATCCATTCGGGGGCATCTGCAGCAGCAGAGGTGGGGCAAGGGCAAGGGCACAGGCTTGCTGAAACCAGTCTCTTGCTGAAACCAGGACTGTAAGCCCACACAAGCAGCGGGGACTTGGGACTACTGACAGCTACCAGCCAGCAGCCCAAGCGCGTTGGGCCCAGCCATCCCATGCCACCAACATCAGCCGGCCACCCAGAAGAGAGGCGCCGGCAGAGCTCACCCTCAAAGCCCTGGAGCACCATCCCCGGCACGCCGTTCCCCAGAGCGCTGTAGCACGCAATGGCGGAGGAGATGTAGAAGCCAAACGCGGCAGTCACCGCCACGCGCACCGCGCTCGTCATCGTGTGCACCGCCCTGGGCGGCTGCCGCAGCGTGTCCTGAATCTCCATCAGCACCTGTGGGCGCAGAGTTGTGACACAGGGAAGGATCAAGCGCTGGGGAATCGGGATACCCCGGGGTCCTGGGTCCAGCCGTGGGCCACGTCTTCCAATTGTGCTGCAGGAGGAGATAGCAGGCAGCGCACCACCCCCCGTGCCCCTTGCCTGTGCAAAGCCAAAGGCAAAGGCGATGTTGCCGAGCGCGTTAAGCATGCCGAATGCCTTGTTAGCTGGGGAGGTGCCAGGGCGCCCGCCGACGGTGCCCCCGCGGTTGCCGCCTACACAGGCCACAGTCAATAGCAAATGGATAAATGCTGGGTCGTCTTGAGACGCTCATGGGCTGGCTGCGCAAGCAACCCCAAGGCTATGGTTTTCAGCACACTCCCAGCCTTCAGCACTGCCCGACAGCCAGCCAGGCGGCGGCGCTCACTGTACACCAGGCCCAGGATGAGCGAAATCGTGACATAGCCCAGCGAGCTGGCTGTGCCGAGTGCGCTGACCCACCAAATCTTCTCCAGGCTTGGGATCTGCATAGGTGTTGGGAACGTGGGGAGCTTGTGACTGGTGCCTGTGCACTTCGCATGGGGCTGCAGGGTGACTCCCCCCCATCTTGTTACTCCACAAACCCTCGGGGCCGCCGTTCATGCAAATCAGGGCGAAAGGGCCCCACATGCCCCGCCCGCGCCAACCCCTCGACCCAACTATCTAGCAGCCGCTTGCCTGAGAGAAGACGAGTTCGAATGCGCCCATGATGAGCACTAGCTTCCACTCGCTCCTAAATGGGCTGCCAATTAGGTCGGCCACGGTTTGCATGGCAATGGCCCCGGTGATGGAGTAGGCTGCAGCACGGGACGGCACACGGCTGGATGAATGCAGGTATGCCGTGTGAGCAAAGACAGCAGGCCGGTGCGGCGCACCAATGTCAGACAGCACCAGGTTCAGCAGCTGGAAGATGGAAATGGCGATGGCGCCCGGGCGGCCCTGCAACACACAGGCGGCGGTAGCACACAGGCGGCGGTGGCGCAGGGGACATGAGACGCCGGCACCGGCGTGATGCACACAGTGGGAGACGAGGCAGCCCCTGCATGGACCCACCAGGATGTGCTGCACGGCGTGGTGGTAGCGCGCAAACTCGATGCCGTCCACGCAGTACAGGCGGGCCAGGAGGTGGGAGCTCCACATCGAGACGGCGAAAAACACGATGAGGCAGATGGGGCCCGCCACCCAGCCCAGCCAGGCCATCGAATTAGGCAGGCCCAGAACGCCCGCACCCACAATTGCGCAGAAAATATGGCCCACCGCCGTCCATTTTGTGCCTGCAGGGGGAGGCAGCAGAAGAATGTGTGTTGGGTGGGTGGTGGTGGGGGGGGGGGCACCGTTGGCAGCGAGGCCCTACCTGGGCCCTAGGGCTGCAGCACCACAGCTGGTCCCGTAGCATTCATTTGCTCCTTATGGGTGTAACAGACAGACAGACAGACAGGGCGGGCGGCACCATGTTGGGCGGCGCCATGGCGCCATGCATGCGCCGCATGCATGGCGCCAGGGCCCTTGCAGGGCAAGCAGCTAGCGTGCCAGTCCCAAGCGCCATCCGCCAGCACTTCACCTCCAGCAGGCTAGCACTCGGCAGGCGAATGCCGGGCAGCGGACAAGGGCAAACCCCGCACCATCCCTGCAAGCATCTGTCGGCCTGCATCACCTGTCTTTCCGTTCGGCACGATGTCTTGCTCCCCCGCGTCTCCCGCCATGGTTGTTGCCCTCAAGTGAAGAGACACCATCTGCCCACGCCCCGACACCACGGGTGCGCTGCGATTCGGCGAAGTATGCCGGAGCAGCTGCTGCAGGAGAGGTGGGTTTGGAGGCTGGTGCAAGGGCCTGAGGGGGTGGTGAGTGATCCTCCTGGTACAATATGTGTACCAGGAGTGCACCAGGTGGCAGGGTGCGCACCAGTTGGCAGGGGAGGCATGGTCCTCTCCTGCCACCTGGCATAAGCCCACGGATCGGTCATACGTTGCGTAGTTGTGCCTGTGATCTTATGCTGACATCGCCAGTGCTGAAGTGTGGGCTGTCCGAGACGCAGCTGGCTTCAGCTGTGTCAACCTTGAGGCCCCTCAGGGCTCCGCACTTGAGACCCGCCGTCTCGCCCGAAGGAAAGACGTAGCCGGCCGGAGTTCTAAGAGTCGATACAGGAAGGGTACCACCGGGGGCCAAAACGCAAGCCACAGGGTGCATGCAAGCCGCCGCTGGGCGCTACCGCTGACTGCCAGTGGGTGCTGGGCCACACCTGCATGTGGTGGATGGGTGCAGAAAACTAGGGAGTTGGTAGCCGCCTGGCGGGCTGCTGGCTGCTGCTTACAGCTGGCCAGGCCCCCGGGGGAAGAATGCCTGGGAGAGGGAGGGCTCCGCCCTTGAGACCCGCCGTCTCAAGGGCTCCGCACGCAGCACGCAACATCAAACATACAATATAAACATTCAGTCCTTTAAAAAAAACAGGCAGCTGCGGTCCCGGCAGACAGCCTGCCTAGGCCCCCGATAACAGGTCGAATGTGGACCGCCCATCCACCACCTGCTCCACGGACCCCACCACGGACCCCAAAGGTGATGACCAGGGTTGCCAGGCTGAGCCAGCGCAGCCAGCGGCGCTTGCCCGGCGACGGCTGCCGCACCCGCAGCCACATCTCGACCGGAAAGGCCACGGTGGCGGGCCAGAAGGACAGCGCCCCAGACAGGCCGATGATGGTGCCAAACCTGCGTCACAAGGGGGGGGATCACTTGCAGCCCCTTGGTCACAACGCTGGAAAGTAAGGGCTCCGGTGGGTACAAAGGCTGTGCATCCAATCTGCCACTGCCACACATCTGCGCAGCTTCGAATCGCCAGGCAGCAAGCCGGCCCCACACAGCACGCACCAGGGCATAAGGCAGGCGAGAAAGGTGATGAGCACGACAAACATGGAGCGGAACCAGAGGCGCATGAGCAGGCCCTGAGGGAGGGCAGGAAATGGGTGGCTGGGCGGCGCGGGCGGTTGGGCGGGAGGCACTTCAGGCCCTCCATCGCGGCACGGACAGCCGGGCACCACCGCCAGCGGGCACGGCGGCGGCACCAACGCACCTTGTTCCAGCCCGGGTTGCGCCTCCACCGCACCATCTTGTCCTCGAGAAAAAGCAGGGTAGGCTGCAGGCAAATTTGGTAGGCGGGCCCCACATGAATGACCACCATCAGGTTCCCCGCGGTAACCAGCCACATGGGCGTGGTGAAGGCCATCATGATGGAGCCGGCCACCTCGTCGCCAAAGGCGGCATACCCAGAGCACGCCACCGCAATGTAGATGGAGGTCATGATGCATACTGCGGGGGCAGGGCGGGGCAGGACTGTGGATGGCCGGATGGCGGGAGGCATGGAGCGCGTGGGGCGGTGAAGGGAGGAGCTGGTGAAGGGAGCCCTCCTAGGAGCGCAGCGGCAGCAGGAGGAGCGCAGCAGCAGCAGATGGAGCGCGCAAGTGTGCAAGGAGCCTCAGTGTGCCTTGCCCAAGCCCGGCTGCCTGCAGCGGCGCACCGGCGACGAGGATGGCACGGCGCATGCTGGCCACCGGGCCCGGCTTACTGTCGGTCCTGATGGTGTCCTGCAACAGGCAAGAGGAGCGAACGGCGAGGCGCTGGCGGTGTGGGGAGAAGGGCAGGCACAGTAGAGCACACACCAGGGGAGCACGGAAGGGGTGGGCAGAGCAGAGCAGAGGCGCCGCGTGGCACTCGGCCGGCTCTTCTTTCCTGGATTTCCACGAGCTGAATACTGAAGTTGAAGGCAAAAAGAATTGCACCTATCGCATTGAGCACCTGCAGAGATGGGGGAGCCCAGGAATGAAACGCTGGCCAGCGCCTGTGCCAGCCAGCCCACCCCGCTGGAGGAAGGTAGGCAGGCGCCCACCTGGAACGCCTTGTCCCAGCCATTCTGGAAGCTCTTGCCGCCGATGGTTCCTTGCGGGTTGCCGCCAGCTGCAAGCAGCAGCAGCACCGCCGCGGGCGCATCAGCCATCGCCACCCGCACGGCAGGGCACGCATATGGGTTCGATCGATGCCGCTGCAAGGCTGCGCACCTTCTGCGGCGCTGAGCCCCACGGCGATGCCGGAGTAGCCAAAGGACATGAGGCCGCCGATGATGGAGCTGTACTTGAGGTGATCAATGTCGGGCATCTGCACCATCAGCAGCTGCGAGCCGCTGCGGGCGGGGCACACGACGGGGGCAGGACACAGAGTGGGACTGAAGTGGTGGTGGCTTCGGATGGGAAGACGCTGACGCCCCGGCAGCCGCAGCGCGCGTGTGCGTCTCTCCCAGCTGTGGCACTCACCCAAAGATGATGGCCCACCAATTGTAGTTTGTGAAGCAGCTGCTCCAGCCGGCCTCGCTGCATATGGAGCGAGCGATGGTCTGCAAGGTTGGGGAGCGGGGGACGGCGGGCGGCGGTTCAGACCCAGGCGCGGCAATGCCGCTTGTGGGTGGTCTGCACAACCACGGCGCTCCATCCCCACCTGCAGCGACTGCGGGGCGGTGATGGCGTACGCCCACGTGACGAGAACCAAATTGACGTGTTGGATGCTGCGAGGCAGGGGCGCATGGATGTGTTGGGCGGTGGCAGCAGGAGCGGCGACGACAGGGGGCGGGCTGGGTGGGCACGCCGCCCCTCTGCTCACATGCCAATCGTGGTGACTGCCCACGGGCGGAAGGTCGCTGCGACACACTCGCTGTACGTGCGGTTAATCTTGCCGTTGATGATGTAGCAGTCTGCCAGCAGCACCTGTAAACATCGGCTCATGGCAGGAGGCCAGGTGTGATGAAGAGCAGGGAAGCAGGCCAGGTCGGTGGAACGACCCAGCAGCAGCTGCTCATTCTGCGGCGACATGATCATGGTGCTTGCCCACCAGCTGTGGCGCATGTGCTGGTGCAACGCCCAGCGCCTCCATGGCCCACCCACCGAGCAAACTTGAGTGAGTGCCCCGAAACAAATGATGCACAGTGGCCCCGCCACCCTGCAGAGGGAGTGGCAGTGGTGGTGATGGGTGTTTCATCATCCCCTTGTGATCCGACCCTTGTTCTGTGGCAAGGGCAGCAGCGCTACACGGGCAGCAGCGCTACATCGCCAGCAGCTCACCAGCCCAGCATCGCCACGGCGTATGGCAGCGCCAACACGCCAGCGCCGATGACAGCGGTAAGCACATGCATCAGCGCTGTGAAGGTGGTGCCTGTGCGCCGTGGCTCCTCCAGGCCCTGCGCATCTGTGGGCGGCCCGTCTGCGAGGCTCAGCCCGCTGTCTGCCAGGTCCAGGCCGCTGGAACTGCCGCACTCGGCCTTCGACGCCTCCGACTCGCTGACGCCGCCGCCCCAGCGGCGTCGGCTGCTGGCACCGCCGGCTGCAGCGAGACCCATGCTGCTTACTCTCGATGAAGCAGGGGTGAGGTTTGCAGGGCGGCCAGGAACTTCGCTCAGATAGGGCCGAAGCACTTCTCCAGATAGGGACGGACGGGTGTGTATATCAGTTCACATAACGGATGTAAACCCAGTAGGAAGCACGATGGTTGCCGGGGCTTCTTGTTGTTTGTTGCTATGTGCTGTGCCCTTGACACAGGAGACACAGTTGAAGTCAGCTGCCTCTCGGACAGTTCACAATTAGCCCTGGCGATATCAGCATGAGATTACAGGCAAATCTACCCTAGAGACCGATCCGGCCGGCCAGGTGGCATCCCACCTGGCAGGGGGAGGGCACGCACCAGTGTTTCTGAAAGCTGGCGAAATCGCCAAATGCTGGCGAAATCGGGCCAAAAAACGGGCTGGCTAAATGAGGGCAGGCGGCGGGGCGACATCGCCAGCGCGTCGCCAGCCCCCATGACTGACATCGCCAATATTTTGAGGAGAAATGGCCAATTTTCCTCAGGAACTTCACTCCATAGTGTTAAACAAGCGCCAGCTTGCTGGGGGCTTCGCCCCCAGTCCCCCAAAAGGGAGGCAAGTGCCGACAAAGCAACAGCGGCGCCGCATGTGGCCGCTGCGCTGTGCCAGGCGCAAGGGTGGCTCCCCCGCATTTCGCCAATCCTCAATGTGCCATCGCCAGCTGATTGGCGAAATTTGGACGCGACAGCACTCCTCATCGCCCGCCCATCGCCAAAGCTGCCACGAGGGCCAGAAACACTGGCACGCACCACCACTTGGGTCTGGCCCCTTGCACCAGCCTCCAAACCCGCATCTCCTGCTGCCACATATATCGCCGGACCACAGTGCACGGTGTCGGGGCGTGAACAGAGAATTCTGTGAGGACAGTGCCGGGGCAACCATGGCGGGAGACGCAGGGGAGCAAGAAATCGTGCCGAATGGAAAGACAGGTGATACAGGCGGCCGAACAGATGCAAGCAGGGCTTGTGCCCGTTTGGCCCTCGCCCGCTGCCCGCTAGTGTGCACCCCTCCTGCCAAGTGCTAGCCCTACAGGAGAGGTGGATTTGCAGGCGAAAGCGCGCGGACTGGCCCGCTAGCTGTTTGCCCTGCAATGAAATGGCCCCGCCACCGCCCGTCCGCCGCTGCCAGCAGCCGCCATTCTCTACCCAACCGACCCTGCTGCCACGCCTGCAGGCACGATGTGGACGGCGGTGGGACACATCTTCTGTGCCGTGGTGGGCGCGGGCGTGCTGGGCCTGCCAAACTCGGTGGCCTGGCTGGGCTGGGTGGCAGGGCCCATCTGCCTGGTCGTGTTTTTCGCCGTCTCAATGTGGAGCTCCCACCTGCTGGCCCGCCTGTACTTCGTGGACGGCATCGAGTTTGCGCGCTACCACCACGCCGTGCAGCACATCCTGGTGGGTCCATGCAGGGGCTGCTTCGTCCCCCAGCTGGTGCAGTGTGCTGCATCACGCCGGCGCCGGCGTCTCATGTCCCCTGCGCCACCGCCGCCTGTGTGCTGCAGGGCCGCCCGGGCGCCATCGCCATTTCCATCTTCCAGCTGCTGAACCTGGTGCTGTCTGACATTGGTGCGCCGCACCGGCCTGCTGTCTTTGCTCACACGGCATACCTGCATTCATCCAGCCGTGTGCCGTCCCGTGCTGCAGCCTACTCCATCACCGGCGCCATTGCCATGCAAACCATGGCCGACCTAATTGGTAGCAGCTTCCGTTCTGAGTGGAAACTGGTGCTCATCATGGGCGCATTCGAACTCGTCTTCTCGCAGGCAAGCGGCTGCTGGGTAGTTGGGTCGAGGGGTTGGTGCGGGCGCGGCGTGTGGGGCCCTTGATTTGCATGAACGGCGGGCCTGAGGGTTTGTGGAATAACAAGATGGGGGAGTCACCCTGCAGCCCCATGAGGAGTGCCCAGGCGCCAGTCTCAAGCTCCCCACGTTCCCAACACCCACGCAGATCCCCAGCCTGGAGGAGATTTGGTGGGTCAGCGCACTTGGCACAGCCAGCTCGCTGGGCTACGTCACGATTTCGCTCATCCTGGGCCTGGTGTACAGTGAGCACCGCCGCCTGGCTGGCTGTCGGGCAGCGCTGAAGGCTGGGAGTGTGCTGAAAACCATAGCCCTGGGGTTGCTTGCGCAGCCAGCCCATGAGCGTCTCAAGACGACCCAGCATTTATCCATTTGCTATTGACTGTGGCCTGTGTAGGCGGCAACCGCGGGGGCACCGTCGGCGGGCGACCGGGCACCTCCCCAGCTAACAAGGCATTCGGCATGCTTAACGCGCTCGGCAACATCGCCTTTGCCTTTGGCTTTGCACAGGCAAGGGGCACGGGGGGTGGTGCGCTGCCTGCTATCTCCTCCTGCAGCACAATTGGAAGACGTGGCCCACGGCTGGACCCAGGACCCCGGGGTATCCCGATTCCCCAGCGCTTGATCCTTCCCTGTGTCACAACTCTGCGCCCACAGGTGCTGCTGGAGATTCAGGACACGCTGCGGCAGCCGCCCAGGGCGGCGCGCACGATGACGGGCGCGGTGCGCGTGGCGGTGACTGCCGCTTTTGGCTTCTACTTCTCCTCAGCCATTGCGTGCTACAGCGCCCTGGGGAACGACGTGCCGGGGGAGGTGTTGCAGGGCTTTGAGGGTGAGCCCTGTTGCCGCCCCTTTTCTGGCTGGCCAGCTGATGTTGGTGGCATGGGATGGCTGGGCCAGAGCGCTGGGGCTGCTGGCTGGTAGCTGTCAGTAGTCCCAAGTCCCCGCTTGCTTGTGTGGGCTTACAGTCTGGTTTCAGCAAGCCTGCGCCCTTGCCCTTGCACCACCTCTGCTGCTGCAGATGCCCCCAACTGGGTTCTCGTAGTGGCCAATATCTGCATCGTTATCCACATGGTCACCGCCTGGCAGGTCGGTAGTGGGATGGTGGGAAATGATGGCTCTTGGCCCACGCCCATCTCTTGGACACCCCGACGCCAAGCATGCCTGCTTCTCTTCTTGTCCCCGCTGAGTGCAGGTGTGGGCGCAGCCGGTGTACGAAACGATTGAGAGCAACGTCAAGGCTTACATGATCAAGCGGCAGATGCGCTCCGCCGGCCTAGCCCCCGCGAAAGAGGAGGCCAAGTTGGATGCAAAGGTGGCGGAGCCTCACAAGCCGTCGCCCTTTGATGTGGGTCACCGCCCCGGCAGCGTCACGCACCAGCACCAGGCCGAAGAGGTGCACCACCTGCCACCCGTGACAGAGACCGTGGACATGGAGAGGGGGCTGTCAGGCGCCTCATCTGGGCGCAGCGGCCGCTTGAGTCGGCGTTCCACAGCATGCACCTCCGGCAGCATGGCCATCCTGAACAGCGCCCCCATCCCAGACCTGCTGCCCGTGGGGGGTGAGCCTGTGGCTGTCCCTGCTCTGCTGCATGCTCTGCCCTCGTCGCATCTGCCAGTGACTCTCTCTTGCAACCGATGGCAGCGAACCTGCCCACAGCGCTTTGGCCTGCCGCGGTGCAGGGTGGAAGCGGCGGACCCGCGGCGCCGGCTCCAATGCCTCCCTGGCCTCCATGGACCCACGGAAGGACAGCGCCACAGGGGCGCACCCCAACCTCAACCGCAAGAGCGCCGCCAGCCACCTGTCACGCCTTTCTGCGGCGCTGGGCAGCGAGGCAATGTGCGTGAAGCAGGAGCCCACGACCTCTATGCCGCGCTGGGCAGTGCTTCCTTGCCAATTGGTTTCTTAGATATAACGAGTGGTGCATTGCCATGCCACCCAAGAGAGGCTGCATGCCATCCCTGCTGCTGTTGCAGGTACCACATCGATACCGGCGCCGCCAACGAGCACGTCCCCATGAACGATGAAGGCTACTACCTGCCGTTCTGGCAGGTGACTGAGTTCTGGCAGAATGCGGGCATTTGGATGTTGGTTGCCAGCTGTTGCTCTGTCTCCTGCCAGCACCTACTCCTTTGCACCCATACAACCCCTCACCCAACCGGCTGCCGATCTGCATGCAGCGCCTGGTCATCCGCTCCACATACGTCCTGCTGTGCACCATCATCGCCATGAGCCTGGTGAGGACCCCCGCTGTGCTGCAAATGATGTATGTTGCGGTGGCAGACGGCAGCTGAGGGGCGGGAACTGTGCTTGCCTGCGCTTGCCCGTGGGCAGCTGTAGCTGAGATGCTCCCTGCTCACCTGCAGCCGTTTTTCAACGCGATTGTTGGATTGATCGGCGCAATCACGTAAGAAGTTCTGTCCAGGTGCTGGTGCGTTTGTGCATCCCATCGACCGCAGCTGTGCTGTGGCTGTGCTGCAGGTTCTGGCCGCTGGCCGTTGGGTTCCCGTTCGCCATGTATGCCAAGGTGGGTGCCAGCAGCGCCACCCCTACTCCAGCATTGGCAGGGTGTGCTCGCACTCCTTCGCTCCGCCTCGCTGCCAGCCTGTCCCTGCTGCGCCCCACTGCTGCTCCCGCAGGTGTACAAGACGACCGGCCCAATGCTGCTGCTGATGAAAGTGACCGCGTTTGTCATGTTTCTGGTGGCGGTGGCTGCCACCATTGCGTCCTGCCAGAACATCATCGTCTCATGGAGCACATATACTTTTTTCGACTGAGGCCCAACCATCCCCATAGAGCTGGTGCATCCCCGGTGATGCTGCACTGGCTACTCCGTTGCTTGCATCCACAGCACCTCATACTTTACCTTTTTCCCTGCCAATTGTACCAATAATTGCCCTCAGTTAGCGCCATGTAGCTGAACAATGCAACAGGCGGGCAGGTTCTCACCGAGCGGCCGCAGCGCGCGCGCTTGCTTGAGAGGGTTTACAGTCCGTTTGTTAGCAAGAGCAGGCTTGCAGCACAGACTTTCTATGGAAATGGGTGGGGCTGGAATGGCAGCATGCAAAGCAGGTCAGCTGACAGGCACTGGGCTGGCAGTGTGTAAGGCTGGCAAACTGGATGCAAGCTGTGATGTAGAGCTGGGAAAAGGCTGTAGCTGAATACAAACTGGTGGTGGTGGGGAGGGAGGGATGGGTCATGGAGGTGCGACTGGCAGAGCGGAGGTGGCGGCATGCCAGTGGTGGCGGCAGGCGGCGGCAAAGGCAGTCAGCCAGGGGGCCTAGGTGTTACAGTCACCCTGCTATGATAGGCCGCGTGAGCAGACCTTGGGCACACGTGATCAAGGGGCATCAAGAGAGGGGGTGGACCATGGAGCACCCTCTCCATGGCTCCGACCACCCTCCCCCCAGTTGAGCGTCCCAGGGTCACCCCACCCTGGCCCCGCTCCCCGTCCTGCCGGACACGCAACCCCCACAACGTGGTGGGGGGCGTGGGGATCCTTAGCAGCTTAGGCCTGCCAGGCCGACGGGTGCCGATGCTGGTGCGGGCTCCCGGCGGCAGGCAGCGCCGCCGCCGGGCACTCAAATGGCATGGGGCACACGGGCCCCCATGCCCGCACATCTCCCAGGCAG